GGGGGGGGGGGGGGGAAATGAATCAGAGACAGAGAGACTGAAAAAAACACCTACTCAAATAGACAATGGGGAAAAAACAGAACTGAATTTGACAAAACAATTAATAAAAATATAGATAATATGCTCATGAAGATGTAGCCAGAGAGGAGGACAATTTAATCATATATTAAACCAGTCCACACTTTCAAGCCACTACTGTATTTATGTGTTACTCCACAGGGACACAAGGCATGACACCTTTCTCTGCTCTTTCACCCCCTCTGCTGGTAGTGCCAAGAAATGGCCCTCAGATCAAGACACCAGCAGCACCAGAGAAAAGTTAAAAAGTGCAATGGATATTTTATACAGCTGTGCTTCTCAAATTTTGTATATGAATCACCTGGGGATCTTGTTAAACTACAACTTTTTATTCACTATGTTTGGGCTGGGGCATGAGATTCTCCATTTCTAGCAAGATTCCATGTGGTGCTGGTCCTTGGACCACACTTTAAATAGCATGATTTTATGCCCTCAATAATCACCAGCACAAAACCCCTCAGTCAGGTCTTCCAATTTGGCATGGAAGTGATCTCTATGGCTCTTAAGTAGCTCTGCGTCCAACAGTTGATTTAAAGCACAAATTGAACGGTTAAGTTCATTTGGAAGATTTCTCCAGTTGCCTCAATGATAACTTTCATGCAAGTCATCAGTTACATCAAGCAGTTAATTAGAATATTGGAACCTAGTTAGGAAATGTTGCCATGATTTTGTCATATAGAATGAGATTTTTATTTTAGAAGGGACATTCAACCACCGCTCTCATTTTACAAATCAGAAGGCAGAGACACAAAGAGGGTATGTGACTTGACCAGGGTCACACAGCTTGTTAACAGCAGGAAGACTGAAATCTACTTATGCTGACACTAGTTCTCATGCTGTCTGTCCAGATTATTTCCCATTTTTCTGTTTCTCTAAAGTTGTCAGCATAATATCTGCTAAATCCTATAGATCATTAAAGGTCTATATGGCAGGTCAAAAAGTCAGGAAATATGAGAGTATTCATCTCATCTCAGTAGTTTTCCTCATATTTTGTTCTTTTGGAATTTAGTGACCCATTCTCCTATCAGTAAAGCTAGATTTTAAACATCCATTAGAAGGAAAAAGAAATACTGTCTAATTAGCATTACCAATTTTGAATGTTTAATCCTCATTCTGCTTTATCTTTCCTGCGTGAATTTAATTTATTAAAAATACATTAGGTCTCATTGACATTCTTCAAAATTCCCCACAAAAACAACACAAATACATTTTATATAATGGTGATGAGAGGACTTAATAAATATATGGTAAAAGAATGATTTATCACTTGGATTGATGAATGAATGAATCGAATATGTTCAGATAAACTCATCATGGCTACGTAGCAGACTGGAGGATTTGTAAGACCCTCAAATGAGGTCATGCTCAAAGTGAGGCTAGGTGTGAACGATGTAATGTCAAGGTCTTTTGTCTTTAACATCAAAATTCACCTTAGAGAACTTAAGTGATTTTCATGCCTGTCTGAGAATAGAAGGTGAATTTCCAAACTGCTTTTTCCATTCCCAACAACAACCAAAAAAGGTACGAGAGTAAATACAAAGTTTCCGGGTCTCTGAGGTCCCACCCAACATAAGCCTTGAATGCTGATGAGCAAAGTGTGTGGGCGAGGGAAACCATTTGTGACAAAACCCATTATTTACAGATGAGAAATTTATATTGTCAGCGTAATATCTGCGAGGCTAAACAGAGCTGGAGAGTATATAAAAGCGCTGTGCTTTGGTGCAGAAGTGCAGAGCTCAAGACACAGAGCACATCCAAAGTTCCCAAAGAGGGCTGGCTCGCTCCCTACCTGCTCTGTTCAGAATCAACAGGTAAGATTCACATTGGATGACGGTAAACTTGTAAATCCTGTCTGGGGGACAGTTAAGTGTTTTTAAGGGAGCAAAGTGTTATGAACTGAAGTGTTGTTCTTTAATCTTATACTTTATTACTGTTAAAATAGAGGGCAGAATTGAGATGAAAAAGTTATATAAATGCATTTACAGGTACTTGTACACAGTAAGGTTGCAAAGTGAGTTGGAGAAATAATTCAATGCAAAGATATAAAAAAATGATGTAAATCAATGCACTTGTTACAACTGTTATGAGAACTGGATTTTAAAATAAGTGGTAACATTTTGAAAAATAAATATTTTTCCTTGGATTTGATAGATATGCAGTACTACTTTGAACAGAAGGCGCCTTTTAAATTCAGCAGAAATGTGTCCATTAGAGAGGCTATAAAAGTAATTGTTCTTTACCAATTAAAACCTCTGGTTTTCCAAAAGAGTAGATTCAATATCATCTTTTAAATATTCAAATTTCTGATAAATCTGTCAAAAAAAATCAGAGTCCCTGATACCAGCTCAGTGAACAAAATGTAGAATACTTGTTGCGGAGAATAAGTATCATCTATTATTAGGGATTTATTTGGATAGATCTGAGTAAAGCCATAGATCAATAATTATTTGCTATGCTTTGAGGACTGATAGTAATAAATAAAATCTAAAAAAGCTACACTCTGGAATGAAATTTTACAATTTCTTTAGGAAAAAAAAATGCGAAGCTCTAAAGTATCTACTTAAGTTCCTAAAGACAAAGAACAAATTTACCAAGATCCTCCATGGAGTAAATGATTAAGTGGTGTGTGTTTTCACACCTATTGAGGGTCTATTAAATAACCAATTTTAAAAGTATTTATGTGGCCTACAGTGACAATGTATTTAGGGATATGATATAATGTCGCCTTTCCTAGGTCTAAGATTAACCTTTCTAAAAGACTTTCTACACAGAGAATACTGTTGTTACCGTATTTTCCTTCTAAATTTCAGTGAAAACTTGTGGTACTTACAAAACTGCAGACCCTCTCCTTAGGCTACCTAAAGAGGAGGAAAATAATTGGAAATTTTTTTTCTTATTGAATAAGATTTTGATACTAAACTAATGTAAATATTTACTTGTTCACCAGTGGTATTCACACAATTAATTAACTATTTTCACATTTTTTCACAATTCTGAAGACTTTTACAAGACAAATAAATTAGATTTTAAAAGCCATGTTTTTCTTTCAGTAGAACCCATTTGATTGCTTGTACAGGAATTCAATCACTCATTTCTTTATGGTGGCTTCTTCTTTCATCAATTCCCACAGTGGCAGAATACTGCTTGCCCTAAATCTGCCTCAATAGGACATAATAGAAAATATTGCAAAACCTTCAGAAACCTTGGGTGAAAGGAATTATTTAGGACTATATTTCCAGTTTTCAGTATTTTACAAGAAACTTTCCAGCAGGGATATAATCATAAAAAGAAGTGTTTGCTTTCATTTTTCAATATTTCTAAAAGCATGAATATTATAATTGAGAGTTATAATCAGAAGACACTACCTAAATATATGGCAAGGTTTCCAAAGTTTGCCAACTGGTTAAACTGAAACATAGCAAAATGCCAAATTAGTAATTTAATGCTGATAAATGAAGAAGGGTGAATATATAATTTCTATTATGTTGCTTTGTCTAATTAGCCACTTAATCTACAAAGACTTAGTATTTCAAAGAAAAAAGTTATTGCTGCAAGTATTACAGTCTCTATGTTTAGTGCCAGGGATAGATAGTAAATATGGCTAGGATGTTAAAGAAAAGATTGATAGTTAGAAACGATAATATTTGTAAAATCCTTATTCCAAACCAAATGTCATTTGCTAAAAATACTCATTCAAATTATTTATGGATAAGCATAATCAAACTTGGATTGAAAGCCCCACTTCTCAAAGGAAACACAGTTGGGTTTGAAAGTAGCAGAGAGAAGTCCATGACAAAACACTCGACTTGAGTTTCCATTGAGAAAATAGAAGAGCTTGCTTTGTGGAGACATTCTATCCCACATTCGTGTTGGGCTCCATCCCCATCCACCCTGCATCATAACGTCTGCAGCATCCCATGGCTTTGTGGGGCATCTGCTTGTGACAGGAGAAAAGTCAAACAGGAATATCCTACCACCACGTCTATGGTGTCACTTGCAGGGAATGATGTGTCCTGGACTAAGTTCAATTATAAAACAACCTAGGGACTTCCAAGACTTTAGAAGCAAGCACTAATTTTCTTTATAATAGTAATCGCTTACTTTCTTAGTTGTGATTGTTCAAATTGCCAGAAGCATTAATTCTTGTTGCAAATTGCTTGTCTTTAAAATGATTTTTTCCCTTTAATTCAGAATAGGTCAAAGCACCCTAAAATACCTCAAATCTGTTGGCCGCTTTATAATTACAAAGTCTAGACCAAGTTACACTATTTAAAATATAAATGAATAATACATCTGAACCGACAGCTGGTATGCCAAGTTGTAGCCTGAGGCTGCTTTAAGATGGTTGAAATGCAGTATAATGTAAATGCTTGGAAGTGAGGAACTATTAATTGAAAGCCAGACTGATAGTGGAGGGGGGTGGCATTATGGATAAGGTGCCATTCAGGCTAACCATATGTAGCATATCATCTACAGGGGATATTTTAAATGTTTATCATGGACATTTTTAATTTCAGTTTTGGAAATAAGCCTTCTAATCATTAACAGAAGCATCCTACATTAATGAAAAAGCTTAATGGTGGAACACATCTTTTGTATCCTTTTTGCCTCCAAAAAATCTGGGGAAAAAATATAATCTACTCTTTGAAATTAGCTGGAAATAGAAGCAGAATAAAATTGATGACTAGCTTTTTCTTTCTATTTATAATATTTACCTAGTCAAAAATGAACTAATTTAGCCTGACACGTTTAAATATGGTTGTCTGTCCCCCTACCCTTACCCTACCCCACCCTGTGTTCTGACAGGCAGCAAAAATGAAAAGCATTTACTTTGTGGCTGGATTGTTTGTAATGCTGGTGCAAGGCAGCTGGCAACGTTCCCTTCAAGACACAGAGGAGAAATCCAGGTATTAAATCTTTAGACTTGAAGTAACATAGCACTTTGGTCAGAATAAAGTCTGTGAAAACTATGATAAGTGAAGAGGGTCTCAGTAATTTAGAGTAAATACTCTGCACAATTTTTAAATGTTTAAAATATCATTGTGATAAAGGCAGACTTTCCTGGAGTATAGATCAGAGTATGTTTTTTCATAACCAAAGGGGTGGAAGATGTTTAAAAATGTGTTACATGGGAATTATATCTCTTTGAATTTTTCAGATGATCCTACCTATTCATTCATTACTCACACACTCAATAGTAAAGTATTTTAATTATTAACACCAACTCCTTTCTTTTTTATTTCTTTTAAAAATAACATTATTTCTTGTTAAGTGTAGAAGTCATTCATGTTCATAGTGGAAAATATGAAAAATATGCAAAAATTTTAAGTACTCAAAATTCCATTATCCAAAGAAAACTATTCAATATAAAAAATGTTGGATTATTTTCCTGTATTTTATGTATACTGCATATAAATAAATATGATACTTATTTATATGGCTCTGCATCATGTGTTTTCTCTTAATGTTGTATTGTTAGCTTTTTGTTATTTATTAAAATATCTATTAAATGTATATTATTTAATGGCTACATATCATTTCATCTCATAAATGTACAATATTTATTTAGCTACTCCTCTTCTACTGAACACTTAAGAGGTCTTTAAATTTTCCCCCAGGAAATGCTGCAAATAACATCATATATATATATATGTTTTCCCCTTTATTTCTTGCTATTTTCTGAGGATAGATTTCTAGTAGTAGAATTAGTGTCAAAGGCTTTGAGTGAGTTTTGACCTTTTATAATATCCTGCCAACTTGCTTTCCAGAAAAGTTACACACATGCACAGTGCTGTCAGCAATATAAAAACACTCCTCACAATATTCTCCCCAGTATTTAACCTTTGCTGATTTAACAGATAAAAACAGTACAGGTATCTCATTTGTGACTATTAATCACATCGAATATTCTCCCATATATTTACTATGACAACCAACTGTTGAATACTGGCATATGGATTATCTACTATACAGTTTCAAATTAGCAAATGTCCTTCTTCTTGCCTGTCTTTGAACTTTTAATTGCCTCTTCCACAGTTAGCTACCATAAAACTAGGTAATTGAGTTGTTTTTATATTAATAAATGCAAAACAGAATTGTTGAGATAAATCTGCTGCCCAAACAACCGATTTAGAATTCCTCAGTCCTTTAGAATATTCAAGTCACTGCTCTCTTCTGTTATTATTAGCATCATCATGAGTAGATGAGTGAGTAGAAAAAGATTTATTTAACCCTATTTTAGAAAAAAAGAAGTCAGTTAAGAAACCTGTTACTAGAATTCGAATAGGAGTGTGTTCAACTATACTTAAACTATGGGATTCCCATAGCAAACTTAGGTCTCTTTAAACTACCTACTGAAATACTCTAGGCGGATGCCTTACTGCTTCTTGTAGTCCTGCATTTTGTACAGGAAGTGCACAAAGGATGCTTTTTAGGTGGGCCTACTCTTGAGGAGAGATTTATGTTGCACCAATCACCGTTCTTCGCAGACCATTCTCAGCGTCCCAGACAGACCCGTTCGATGATCCTGATCAGATGAATGAAGGCAAGCGCCATTCACAGGGCACATTCACCAGTGACTACAGCAAGTATCTGGACTCCAGGCGTGCCCAAGATTTTGTGCAGTGGTTGATGAATACCAAGAGGAACAGGTAAGCGTCTAAACCTCGTCCAAAAAGTGCACACAAATGTATTAAATATGTCTAAAACTTCTCCTGACTTTCTATCCTGCTCATCAAATAGTATCCATAGCTCTTTTACTGAACTAGCTCTTTCAGTTTTGATGATTTTCAAGATTGGGGATGCTGTCATTATGGTCTGAATGGACCCCTCACCCCTCCAGACACCTTACCCACCCTCCAATGTGGCATAGACTTTAAATTATTTTCCCAACTGTGGTCTTAGCAATATTTACTCTCTTACCCATTTTCCTTTAATATTGAAAGCTGACTTTTGTGGGTGTGCAAGTTTAGAAATCTAATTTCTGACCAAAAGTTAGAGCAAATTTAACATTCCCTTGTGCGGTTCAAACCCATAACGGTGATCACATTAAAATTATCCACTAGCCAAGTTAATCGTGGTAAGGAATGGAAACAGATGCATTCCTTTTCTTTCAGAATAAGATCCAAAATATGCATTTAAAATTACAGCCTAGCTGCTCAGCATAAAGAGAGAAGACGGCAAATAAGAACACAAGCCTATCGTAAGGCATACATTTTAATGCTGGATTTTCTTTGACTAGTGTTGGGGGTTTTGCTGCATCTAGTCTACTGGAGGAAATCATCCACAAGGGTTTCACAGAGATGGTGGAATTTCACAATTTGTTTGGAGGGTGGCCCACAAGGGGAAGGGAGTTATGCATACAAAGTAGCTGGTGTAATCTAAAAGTCAGGAGAAGGACGTACATTTGTCTGGATAAAACGGAGAAGGGGAGCGGAGCAGGGGAGAGAGAGAAAATGCACACGAGGAAGGAATAGGAGAAACAGAGCTGTTAACCAAAGGTTCTCAAAGTGGAGGGTGCAACTGCAGGGAAGACGACTGTTGTGGTCAGAGCAGACACTAGCCCTGTCAAGAACTACAGGTGAAATGTGAGAAATCACAGATTTATATAAATGAAAACAACTGTCGTCATTTCCTAGCGTGGGAACACCACAACGTGGTAAATTAACGTGAAGGAGTCCTCGCCCTCAGGCAGGGTCTGCTGTGCGTTGAAGACGCACCACCGGTGCAGAGGCAGCGCCTGTGGCGAGGCTGAGAGCGCCGCCGGCCTCCACCTCCACCTCCACGGAGCGCTCTGCACGCGCTTGAGGCTACTGTGGGGTCACTGTCTTTCCTTGTCCTTGCTGGCAGATCACACGTTCTCTTTAATCCACTATCATGTGATGACATTTCTAGATGGTCCTTTGCTTTCCTATGAATCAGTTAAGTAACTCTGCCCACGTACTTGTTAATAACAAACAACTGCCTTGCTAGCAGTGGCATAGGACAGTGGAAAGCCTGTGTCTTTTGAGACGACAGTAAAAAGTAATAAAAGTAGCAAAAGTATTTTAAAAAAAATAGTAAAAGTAGTAAACAGTAGAAGCTCAGTTAACCAATGACAGAAATAAGCAGGGGAGGTGAAAAAGGGTCTGCTGGGAAGGGAGGGGAAGTTTTAGTCCCTCCATAACTGTCCCTGGCCCTCTCCCACCAATCTTCGATGCAGATACTGTAGCTTCAAGACAGATCCCCTAGCCTCCCCTCCCAGTGCCCCAGGTCCCTTCTCTCATAGAATCTTAAGTACAAAGTTGCCACTGATTATAGGTGAGACCACATGGCCAAAGAGACAAATCTTCGATTTAACTCTCACATTTTTTCAGGAATAACATTGCCAAACGTCATGATGAATTTGAGAGACATGCCGAGGGGACCTTTACCAGTGACGTAAGTTCTTATTTGGAAGGCCAAGCCGCCAAGGAGTTCATTGCCTGGCTGGTGAAGGGCCGAGGAAGGCGAGAGTAAGTCTGTGCATTCTTATTTGATATTTTTTTTTCTTGATCCAGAAAATTTAAGACTATAGATATCTATGCGTGGATCTGGATTACAGAAGCAATTATTATAGTCTCACAAAATAAGGAAATAACTCCTATAGGTGAGATACAGGGTATTTTCTAGTCCATTTTATCTTTGGTGGTAAGTATTGAAAATAGAGCCAAACAGATTACATTTTTATCTCTCATTATAGTTGTGTTATAATTATTAAGTTATTGTGCAAAGCATGGCACTTTTGAGTGTCAGTAGGATGCTTTTGATAACTACACCAGGACTACAAAAAAAGAAAAAAAGGACTAGAAAAAAGAAAGGAAAAAAGAAAGAAAGAAAGAAAGCTAAAGAGAAGGAAAAAAAATAGTGCTGACAAATTTAAATAAAACTTTTAATATTTAAAGTTTAACTTCAAATATTTACATATGTAATCAACATATATTTATGTGTTAACAGATATTCAGATAAAAAAATGTGATGAAGACTGAAAGAGACCAAACATAAGATGTTAATGAAATGAAACTCAAATTACAGATATGTAGAAACATTCATAAATTCAACCACATACCCAATTTTTTATGGGATTGTCATATAGATGTCCATTAAATAATCAAAGTGGAAAATGAGACTAAGAACTTTAGTTACTTGCTTGAATCATAACACAACCAAACAGACCCCCGAACCATCTCATTTTCTCGTGACCATTTTGGTTGGTATTTCAAATATGAGAAACAAGAAATTTATGTTCAACTCTGATTTTTAAATCAAATTTAAAATAAGCTTACTGAGACTTAAAGAGATAACAAGATGACAGGGAACTAGTATTGTAGGTGATTTTTAAAACATTAGCAATTAAAACTTACAAAACCAATGTTAAAATAGTTGCTTACACCTGAGGATACTTTACAGTGTTTTAAAGGAATTCCAAACATTCTGCTATGGTAAAAACTGGTGAAAGAGAAAATCTATTACATGTATAGACTAATCTTTAATCCTTAATCCTGCATTTTGCAAGGCTGTTCTGACAATCGCTGGTTTTAGAGGATATAATATATTTTGAGGAATTACAGACAAATGAATAGTCTGAACAATAGCTTATGTGTTGCCAATGTACTAAAATCTTTGAAGCAGCCTAGAATACCAAAAAGGGCACAAGTTATACAGGCTTGGTTTCAGATTCCAGCTCTGCAACTTTCTGCCTTTCTGACAGTCATCAATTCATGTGGGTTTTATGAGGCTTTTTATCGTAAACCTTCTATAAATAGAATCCTTTACCATTTTCTCAATGACCCTTGTGCATGTTAACAATAGTAGGCCATCCCTAAGCATTTATTTAAAATGTTTAACCAAGTGCTAATTTTTACCCTCATCTTCTCAGCTTCCCAGAAGAAGTCGCCTTTGTTGAAGAGCTGCGCCGTAGACACGCCGATGGCTCCTTCTCTGATGAGATGAACACAATTCTTGATAATCTTGCCACCAGGGACTTTATAAACTGGTTGATTCAGACCAAAATTACTGACAGGTGACTGCTTTTTAGTTAATTCTGAAAACCATCAAAACTTTTATAAATGTTGATTGTCATACTGCTGCAAGTTGTTCCCCAAGTGGGGAAGAGAGAGTTTATTCTCTTATTTTATGTGTGTGTGTGTGTGTGTGTATGTATAAAATACATATATATATAAAATAAGATATATATAAATAAGATATATATATATATATATGCATGTTTAAATCATTCAAAAGTACATAAATTGTTTTTTATCATTAGTTTCTATCCATTTACATATTTATTCCAAAATGATTTACTGAGTGTCTATGAAGGACAAGACACTAGGAAACAGACATGAGTGAAACAGGGAAATGTTAAGTCATTCACATACTATCACATTAAAAAATGCCTATATATGCTGAAATTTTAGCACAAAGATTAAATGCCTGGATATATGTAATTATATACTTAATAATCATAGTAGTAAAACACTTACATCAAAAGATAACCACTTATCTTGATGGATTTTAGTTGCTTTTTATAATTATACATAAGTCTTTATATTTTTCATTGAGTAGACTTTATGATAAATTACTTTTAAATGAAAATATTTTGAGTCCAAAAAATTGAAGGATTTATAAGATGAGAGAATCAATAAGCAGCTTTTATCAAAAGAAGTCATTAAGCTATTTCCTGGATAAGTTAAGTATATCATCTGGTTATTATAGCTGTGTTAAATCATTGTCTTTTATTTCTTACCTCTAGGAAATAAGTATGTCGCTATTCAAGACCATCTTTACAGCATCACCTGCCAGCCACTTGGGGTGTTTGAAATTTTAAGTTCTGTAAATTTAAGAGGCGTATTCTGAAGCCATATTGCTTTGCATGCCAATAAATAAATTTTCTTTCAGTGTTGTGTAGCCAAAAGATTGTAAATGGAATAAACTATTGTCAAAATATTGCTAAAATATCAGCTTTAAAATATGAAAGTGCTGAATTCTCTTATTTTCTTCTTATTTTGGATGAAGTAACCCCAACCTGTTCATATTTAGCAATGAAATTATTTTTCTATAATATAATTTGTAAATGTAAATTATTCCAATCACAACATATCTGCTTTATAAAAATAGGAGAAGGGAAAAACTGGCAGCCACAGTGGTGAAACTGGAAAGAGAACTTCCTTCTTGAAACCTTTGTCGTAAAAATACTCAGCTTTCCATGTATCAAAGATAGATTTAAATAAAATTTTCAAGTTTCTTTACCATTGTCTATTTTGTCTCTATAATGACCCCTTTCATTGCTCCCACTCTTTCCAAACACCTCTTCTTCCTAAACTGGTAGCCCACAAGTCAAACGTAGTGCATAGACATGACTTCATGTTTTGAATGGCTGCATGATGCTTTAACATTTTGAGCCAATGTTGAATCCTCACAGTCTTTCATGGAAAAATACTGATTTCTGGCTTTTCTTTAAAAACTCGGTCATCAGGCAATATTAGACCCAAAAGGCAAATCTCTCTGGAGCCAAGTAGCAGCTGCCTCTTCTAAAGGGTCAGATGCTCCCCAGGTCACTATCATGTCCCCTACATACACACAAGGGCACACTAACACACTCCCACATATGCTCACTCACCCCACCCACATAATGTACACATCTAGGAATTTACCTCGGCCCACTTTACCTATACACCTCACCTGCCTGGTACCTGCAGGCATCTGAGCTTGCCCATCATGCCCTATACCCTCTTCTCCCTGTTCTGCAATGACAAATGCCCCAAAATACCTTGGGTCAGTCTGATGCTGACTTCCATGCCTGAGAGTTTTCTTTGCTGTATACAGCATTGCCAGCTCTCTTTCTCTATCTCTATAGTGTTCCTGTAAGGTAGACTTAAACACCAATAAGGTTCCAAGCTTTGTGAATTACTTATTACTTTGATCAGCAGTAGTGAATTTGAAGTAATACCTGCAATATTTGTTCCCACCCATTCACATGAGGAGCTTTTCTTGAGCTGGGTAGGAAATTTAGGACTAGAGGTATCTAAGTAAGACTAGTGCTAGCTGTAGGATCCTGGACAGGTCATTTAAGCATCTGGACCTAAATTTCTCATATAAAAAAGTAAGGTTAAAATTGTTTAAGCACCATCATCTCTTACAGAAGTGTTTATAAGTCTGTACTTGCTTCACAATGAGGTTTCAGTAATAATAGGATCCTGAAGTAGTCATCCTAAACATGGAGCTGCTCGGGGCAGGCATTACCTTTGTATGTACCAAAATTATGTCTGTCAGCTTCTCCAGAACCAAAACCATCATATCTTTCCCCAAAGCATCTCAGTGAGGGAGGCTCACAGACTACACACGTGTATTCTCAAAGCAAGTGTTCAGTTTGTTCATTTGTTGTTTTTAGTAGAAGATAGCTATGTTGATTGTTAAGGCATTCAGCTGGTAAGATCAAAGCACTATATTTTTCAAAGTTCTCATCGAAATAGCTCAAGGCAACTCTCTGATGTCCACCATGTTTTCTTTTATGCAAATCATTGTCTTTACGACTTTCGCAGCAGTATATCCACAAGTGACCTAACGGACCCCATCTAGAGTTAAAATTTGAGTTGAAAACTGAATAGATGTTAGATAGGTAGATAGATAGATAGATAGATAGATAGATAGATAGATAGATACATACATACATACATACATACATACATACATACATACATACATACATACATACATACATACATACATACATACATACATACATACATACATACATACATACATACATACATACATACATACATACATAGATAGATACAGATATAGTGTATGTATGTTCTTGTGATATGTGTCAAAACCTTGAGAACATCTCCATGCACACTCCAGTTAAGCAGCAGCCTTCAGAACCACATAATATACTCATCGAAGGGAGAAGAGGTAATCAAATAAGAGAACTGGCACCTGGCTGGGATTAGTGGAAGAGGGGAGCATGAGACAGAGAATGTAAGTCAAGCCCAAAAGAGTGCCAAAGGTTAAAATCAGATAAAATGAATCTGCTCTTAAGTTCAAGAGACAGAGTCAGGAATGACAATAGGAAAGGAAGCTAAGGAAGTGAGTGGGGAGTCATGCAAGTGTCGAAATGAAGTTAATTACATTAGTTAGGTATTATGCTTGACTGTGTGTAATACAAACCCAACCACAGGGACTAAACTAAATAGGGATATATATTATATTTTTTATAAAATAAGAAGTCCAGAGGAAGAAAGTCTGAGATTAAACATGTCAGTATTAGCTCATGGTCTTTTTCTTTGTATTCTGTCATCATTAATGAATGGATTTCCTCCCATGGCTACTTCAAGACTGAAAAATGGCTACTTCATCTCCTAGTTTCTGTCTACTTTCCAGGGAAGATGAAGAAAGAAAAAGAGAAGGATGAGTAGGAAGATAAAGTAAAAGAAAGCAAGAAGAAATGTAAAGAAAGGAAAATTGACAATCAGGAAGGGGATACTCCAATTTAGAGAAAGCAAAACATTTCCAGAAATCCCCAGCAGATTTTTAATTATATCTTGTTGGCCAGAAATGTGTCCCATGACCCACCCTGGCTACAAGAGAGTCAGAAACGTTGTTTTTCAGCTGGTTGTATTGGAGCCCATATAAAATTTATTAGTAAGGAAAGGGGAAGGAATGGATATTACATAGGCAATTAAAATCAAAAGGTATATTACTACAGTCAGAGCTGAGATACTCAAGGTTCATTTTACAAAGTGTCATCTTCTTAGTATGGAGCTTTGTTGGCCTAATTTAAGTACAAGGAGGTTTACAGAACCCTGGACTCCCTCTAAATACAATCGAATAAAAGTGAAACATCCAACAGGGAAATTACTGGAGAATGTTCAGCTAAGACTGGCATAAGCATTTTATATCTTTAACTATAGAACTAAGATTAAGTAATGGCTATAAAGGAGTCAAGAAGTCTGGTTGAATGAACATGTAGTGTTTTGTTAATATAAAATACTATATAAATACTTATTTATTTTTATGTTTATGTAATAAAGTATTATAGAACTAAGACTAATATAAGCTATATCTATCAATGTAAATGAATTTAATTAAGTCACTAAAATAAAAGAGATTATCAGAATAAACAGCAATGCAAAATTCAACTGTATGCTGTATACAAAAGAAACACTTAAAAAGATTTAGGAACATTAAAAATAAAATATTAAAAATAAAAGCAAAAGTAAACCAGTCAAATATAAATATAAAAGAAAAGAGGGTTGCACTCTTTGCATCATAAATGGTAAAACTCAAGAAAAAATTAAGCAAGAAAAAGGATAGCATAAAATGCTAAGTGTTATGATTCATAATGAAGACATAAAACAGTTATATATATATATCTATGTACCTATTAGCACATCAACCACTTTCATACAGGAGAAACTACCTGAGATTCCAGAAGAAATAGTCAGAAATACATGAATTATAGATCTTAAAACTCCTTAGTCCAAGAAAGAACTAGTAAAGTAAAAATTAAGATACCAAAGACCTAAACAAGATAATTAATAAGGTAGATCTTTTAGATCTGAATTGAACTATGCATTCTGATGAAAGAAGATATATTTTCTCTAAGAGCACATGAAATATACACAAAAATCAACCACACAGTAGGCCAGAAGCAAACCTCATACAGTGTTCTCTGGCCAAAATGCAATAAAACTAGAAATAAATAAGAAAATTATTTTTAAAAGCCTTTTTTCCATCTGAACATTAAAATACATGATATTCAACAACTCTTGGGTAAAAGAGAAATTACAACACAAAATTTCTATAGTTTGTAGAAAATAACAAATACCGAAACTATCACATATCCAAATCTAAATGATGTGCTGAACCTGGGTACAAGAAATTTTTTACTATGAAATATTTTAAATATACAAAAAATTTTAAATAAAAAAAGATTAAATTTGCAATTCAAAAAGTTAGAAAAAGGCTAAAAGTAAACAAAAATAAAAGGCAAAAATAATTCATTAATTTAAAAAATCAGAAAATAATGAAATAGAAAACATATAAACAGCAGCACTTATAATTAAATAAAATTGCTGGCTCTTTAGGAAGAAAATTTGGCAAAATAGACAAATGACTGAAAACCCTGTTTTTAAAAAAAGGGAGAAAATACAAATACCAAAATAAGATGTGATAGAATACAATTATCAAAGAAGTTTTTAGAAAATAATGAGACTAATTTGAATAACTCTATGCTAATACACTTGAAAGCTTACATTAAAAATCTCTACAGAAAAATATAGTTTACCAAAACTGTTTCCAATATAAATGGACAAAATAGATCATTTTTGAATGAACAATTGCAGAAAGTTTTAAAAGATTTATGTACAAAAAAGCACCCAAACAAAATAGTCTTGCAGTGGATTTTTACTTAACCTTGAAACATCAGCTAATTCAATGATATTTAAGGTATTCCAGAATGTTGAAAGGATAAAAACTTATAAATTCTTCCTCTGAAATAAATAAGTGGAACATTGATAACAAAACATGAAAATAAATTTTGAATAATTTTATAGATAAATGTCACGTAAGAACATGGATTTAAATGCCTTAAAATATTACCAAAGAGAATCCAACCACACATTAAAAATAATATAGGCGGAGTGTGCTATGCAAACAAAGTGGTACAATACTAGATAATTCTTTAATATAATTCGTCATATTAATAATCATAAGAAAAGCCATTACATAATCTCCATAGATACCAAAAAGGCACTTGACAATATTAAATCCTCACCCATGATAAAACAGTAATAGATGGATACTTTTTTATCATGATGAAACACATACTTTAGTCCAAAAGTTTGCAGTTTACTAAATGGAAAATATTCAAGGAATTTTCCTTAGAGTCAAAGACAACCAAAAAAAGAGATACTCATTATTTTGGCTACTATTTAACATTGTTTTAGAGGTATTAGGACATACAATTAAACAAGAGAAAGTATACTATCAGAAAGGATATAAAACTGTATCTATTTAAGTACAATATGTTTATATATCCGAAAACTCCAAAAGAATCAGTGGAAAATTATGACAAACAATAAGATAATTTAGCATAGTAGAAGGATATTACATACATATATTATATGTATATAATATATATATATTAGGATATTACATATGTATTAAATATATATATATTTATTCATATAGCATCTATAGCCTTCGGGAAGAAAAGAAATTTAAAAAACATAAGACAAA